GGTGGGGAGGAGCTCCTGTCCCCTGGGGAGTGAGAAGTCACCCACTCATGGCTGATGCTGGAGATCATGGTCTGAGCCTTGACTCTGGTTTCCTTCTGGTGGCCAGGTGAAGGTGCCATGGGGGCCCTGGCCTGTCTGGGAGGACCCTCTGTGCTGAGCTCAAGTTCAGCTGAAAGTGCCCTCACCCTGCTATGACCCAGAGGGGCCCTGGGAGAGTGACTGCAGGGCCGAGAACTCACCTGGGCACCTCCCAGTTCTGACTTGGGACTACAAGGCCACCCTGTGCACATGACACCACCTCTCTGTGCCTCTGTTTGGAGAAAGACAGGAAATACAGAAAACGCCATCACTGGTATCCTCTATTTCAAATGGAAGAAAAACCGACACAACTGGGATTCAAAACACCCAACACCAGGAACTCCAGGGATCAAGAAAAGCAGAGGCTGAGATTCAAGGTAAAGAATTAAGTCTGGGTTGTAAGAAAAAAAAAAAGTAAAAAGGAAAGAAAGAAACAAAAAGAGTCAGGTGTGGGAGGGGGTGAGGTTCTGAGGATGGGGAAGGAAAGGAAGATGAGTGGGCCTCGATGCCAATGGCAGTGAGCTGGCAGAGGTCGACCTTCTAGATGCCTCTGTCTGACCTCATTCTGGCCGTCTGACTGAATCCTGGTAAAGACGTGACCTGAAGGAGCTCACCCTGCTCTGGAAATGGCTCCAACGAGCCACATGGAGGGGACGCAACTTGGTGGTGGAAAGTCAGCTCAGGGCACATCACTGGGCTCCTACAGCAGCTCCCTTGTTTATCAGCTTGGTGGCCCCGAACACCTGAGTCCCTTCTCTGTGCTTCCGTCTGCTCTGCTGTACCACAAGCAGGGTGACGACAGCCTCACAGGTGGGAACAGGTCCCGGATTTAGAGTAATCGATGCAACAAGCTTAGCACTGCCTGGTCCCCAGGGAGCACCCCATCCATGTCCGTGGGTGACACTAGGGAAGAAGGAAAGCACCGAGCGTCCCGTTAGCAGGCAGGCACATGCCACTCAGGGTGACCTGGAGCCGTCCCAGACATGAGATACTGGGCTCTGCCCTCAGCGGGGAGATTCCTTTTGAAGGAGCCTCTGGGCAGAGTGAGCGAGTGTAGGGCGCCCGGCTCTAGCAGGCCACCTGCCACGGTGCCTTCCCCACAGGGCAGGGTGGACTCAGTGCAGGCCCCTGAAAATGTTTTAATTTATTTTAAGATCAAGAAAAAAATAAACTTGTAAGGGGAAAAATATTTGAATAAATGATGTTAATACAAATTTTTAATTTTTTATAGAATAAGAGCACTCACAGGCGATAGTGCCCGGTGTTCACAAAGGTCCCTGCGCAGGCTGGTTGCCCAGCGTCCTGGAAGAGCTCATGCGTCTGTTAATGGATCGTGACAGCGGTGGTCAGTCTGTCCTGCAGTCTCCGCAGCGGCTCAGCAGCCTGGTGTAGACAGGGGGGAGCACCGCTCCCTCATCCAGAGGTGACGTTTTGCAGCAAGACAGATGTACATAGAGGGAGTTCTCAAATGTGTCAGTCCCGAAAGGGACCCAGATTTATTATGGCCACCAAGAAATTCCCTCCTAGAGAACAGGAGCTGACTCGAGAGCAAAGAATAAATACGGAGACATGACTGAAGCATTTGGCACACCCAGGATGGGAGGGGTCTCAAATGGGAAAGTGGCACTTTGAAGTCAAACTTGGTTTCAAATCTGCCCATGTTGCCCAGCATCATTCCTGGGCTCAGGTCAAAGTCATCATGGGAAATTCGGGGCCACTGGGCAGAAAACCGTGCCCCGCATCTGCTCCAGGAGCCTAGCCCATCAGAAGGATGCCCAGGCACCCGGCAGGGGGTGGTTCTGCTGCCAGGTACTCAACACAGAGACACGGGCAGGCAGACAGACAGACAGACAGACAGACAGACAGCGCCCACTGAGACACGCACGTGGAGACACAGCCTGCCGTCCCTCCTGCAACCAGCAGCAGCATGTGGCGGGTCCTGGTGGGAGGTTTCCAGGAGTGCGCTGGGGACACCTGTGGAGGGACCTCCCCACCAGGCAGCCCCTTCCTCGGCCATCGTGAGCTCCCGGGCGCTGGGCAGTGGCGGGGGAGGCTGGGCGTGGGAACCAGTCTGGAGTCACCTCACAGAAACACCAGGACCCCAGAGCACAGATGGGGACAGGAGAGATCGGAGGGAGGAAGAGAGGGCACCCCAGTGTGAAAATGGGGCTCCCTCACCTCCTCATCACGGGGCTGCGGGGAGGATCAATCAGAAATGCTGCCAAGTCCTGAGGTCCCGGCTCCCACGTGCTGAGGACTAAGGACCTGCTCCTGTCTGTGGCTTGGGAGAAGGGTGACGTCTGGTTCATCTTTTTCTCTAGCAATCAGCCATGACGGCCTCTCATGCCAACGCCCTCAGCCTGCCTGAGCTACCCGAGCGGGGCCATCGGAGTGGCTCCCACGTCACCCTGGGGACGAGGACAAGGGCACCAGCACCCTCCCCCAGGACCTCTCCACTCAGCACAGACAAGGGCCAAGGGCCAAATCCACAGCTGCCGAAGGAGGACCCGGCCCCACAGGCATGTCAGACACGGCTGCACCTGGGTGTGGGGACTAAGGACACCTTGCGCCCCAGGCCAGGTCGGCAGGCCACTTGCTCCATGGGCCCATTTACCCTCATGGAACTCCTGATTTCGCCCATTCCAGGATGCCGTGGCTACACAGGCTGCCTCCAGCCCTCCTGGGCTCGGCCATGCACTTGAGATGCCAGGGGTACCGTCACTTGCGTCTTCTCCCGGAGGCGCCCAAAGTCATGGAAACCAAACACTGCTTCTGTTCTCCTGTGGTTGTCTTCTTACTCCTTGTAATCCTTGTGGGTTTGAAGAATGCAATTTAATCCAAAAGTTAAGTAATTGCAAACCTGACGGCAGTGAGACCTCAGACCCAAGCTGGTTCTCATGGGTGACTCTGCTCCGCCTGGTGCTCGACTGCCCTGTAGGCACCAGGTGGTCAGCCTGAGAGAGGGACTGTCCAGAGGGGGGTGTCCTGGTGGCTCTGGTCGCTCTGTCTGGAGAGAGGAAGAAGAACAGGCCTGGCCAGGAGGCCTGCACTCCCTGCTACCTGCCTGGCTCAGCTTTAGCCTGTAATTTGGAACAACAAATGAGGAACACAGAGACCGAAAAAACCAAAAGCAGGTCATTATAGAGGACACAAAGGCTCTGGAAGTTTCACTCTCTCTGTTTGTAAATTCCCAGTGCTGAAATGCCATTTGCATGACAAGGGAGGCTGAAGGCCATGGCCACATGGACAGTCCTCCCAGAATGGGGACCTGATCCCTCATGTGGCTTTTCAGGTTTGGTCTTCTGTGCTGAGGGAGGCTGTGAGTGGCTCGAGGCCACCTCCTAGCTGGAGCAGGAAGGGACCTGGCTGACACCTGGGAGAGGTGCACCTTCCTCCTCCCTAGGAAACTCCTGCCCAGCAGAGCTGCCCTCTGCTGCCACCCAGGCCTAACCTCTCACACCTCCACACAGGCCTGGGCT